TATCATCGCTAGCATAGCTGACGTTAGCTAGCTAGCTAGCTAGCTAGCTAGCTACCTACATATACCTACCTAACTAGCTAGCTACCTACCTAATTAGCTACCTAGCTGGCTAACATTAGCCTATCTCAATACAACTCGGATTTGGCTTAGAAACATGATAACATTTCAAAAGAAGGCAAATAATTAGTAGGAAAACCTTTTGTCATGATTGTGATGGCGCCAGATGCAGTTTAACTTTAGCCAGCTAACTAAGATTGAGGGGACGTCCATATTTTAGCTAGCTAACATTATTGCAAGGAACAGTAATGGCAACATTGCCATCTCTCTAAAGTAAATTTAACAACATCATAATAAGTTGTTTCTTACTAATTTATATGCAGTGTCATTGTATTTCCTTGCCACTTTAAGTTAGTGTAATTTAGACAAAACAGTCACATTAGCCGCCCGAGGTGCAACCCATGTCTAGGGCACAAATAAATATTGGTTGCAGCTATGGTGGTATTAGCTAACTCATGTCTGACTACAACAGTGTACTAACTAGCAGCAACAAACTCAAACCAACCCAGGCCATAGCAAAGCATGTCACAGTTGGTTGCGTAGTGTAACGGCGTCACTGGCCTGAATCCAATCTTGAGCCAGTCAGTCTACATCTGTAAAGCATAGCATTAGCTTCCAAACGAGGTTACATTATTTCTCGAGCTATGTTTATAATTGAGGGATGATGACAATCATTAACCCTGTTTTTCTGTTAGACAAAGTGCACAGTTGGGTGCCAGCCTGAGGAGCAAAGGTGGGTATCATAACATGTCCAGCAATGTGATTGCAATGGTTTAGCGACCTCCAAAAATCATTTAATTCACTGTTCACATGCTATTTTTACAGCTTGTCTGGCAAGACCTCCAAATAGAAGTCTCATGCAACACAAGTACCATTCTGACACCTACTCTGTTATTGTCAGAGTGTCCCTCGACTCCTATGAAAAGGACACGCCATCATAAGGCCTCCTCTGATAGTGACCCGAGTTACTGCCCTGATGACAGACAGCTTCATCAACAACGACAGGTAATGTGTGCTATGTGAAAAGCTGTATTAAAAAAATACCTGGCTTGATAAACTAGTAGGCTAATTCCCCAGCCAAGCAGACACAACTTGTAGTCACAGGCCCTCCCAGTCAACACCACCTCATAAGATTGCCTGCTGCAGTTGTTCGTGAGATGTCCAGTTTGCAGCCAAACATGCAGCATAGAAAAGACCAGTAAGGGGGCCCTCATCAGCATCATGCAAACATGCCCTCTCTGTGAGCATTCCTATGAATGGAACAGTCAGCCACATGTTGGCAAGGATCCGGTCAGCAACCTTCACCTGTCAGCGGCAACAGCTTCACAGGCTCATCATTTGTACAAATACAGAAGGTAACCCACTTCATGACTTTGATAAATTTGATAACCCAATTGGGAAACAAATTATGTAAACTGACATTATTTGTTGCTTATTTTCTACTTCCTAGATGCATGGAATGTATAGGGCATAACCTAGCCTGGTGGAACCAGCCTGATCATTGTGTTCACCATTCTTTTTCACTTCACATTTCATGATATCTGAAGTGAAATAGAAAGGTGAATGTAGTGATCAGGTTGGTTCCTCCAGGCTAATCATAACCACCATTGATAATGTAATCAGTGCTCTGTGTGTGTGTGTTTGTGTGTGACTGACCAGTATCTTTGAGGGGCCAGAAGCTGAGCTATGCCCATCAATGGGGCTTTGGCAAAGACCTCAACTCCAGCCTCTCCTCTTGCCTGCTGACCAACGGTGGTCGATGGGGAGAACAGAATTAGGTGTGTTTTAATCTGACTTGTTCAAACTTCAACATAGTACAGTCGTGGCCAACATTTTTGAGAATGACCCAAGTATTGGTCTTCACAAAGTTCGCTGCTTCAGTGTTATGAGATATTTTTGTCAGATGTTACCATGGTATACTGAAGTATAATTACAAGCGTTCCATAAGGTTCAAAAGCTTTTATTGAGAATTACATTACATTTATGCAAAGAGTCAATATTTGCAGTGTTGACCCTTATTTTTCAAGACCTCTGCCACATCCTGACTGATGGCAGCCCATTCTTGCCTAATCAATGCTTGTAGTTTGTCAGAATTTGTGGGTTTTCGTTTGTCCACCCACCTCTTGAGGATCGACCACAAGTTCTCAATGGGATTAAGGTCTGGGGAGTTTCCTGGCCATGGACCCAAAATGTTGATGTTTTGTTCCCCGAGCCACTTAGTTATCACTTTTGCCTAATGGTAAGATGCTGGAAAAGGCATTGGTCGTCACCAAACTGTTCTTGGATGGTTGGGAGAAGTTGCTGTCGGAGGATGTGTTGGTACCATTCTTTATTCATGGCTGTGTTCTTAGGCAAAAATGTGAGTGAGCCCACTCCCTTGGCTGAGAAGCAACCCCACACATGAATGGTCTCAGGACGCTTTACTGTTGGCATGACACAGGTCTGATGGTAGCACTCACCTTGTCTTCTCTGGACAAAGTGTTTTCCGGATGCCCCAAACAACCGGAAAGGGGATTCATCAGAGAAAATGACTACCCCAGTCCTCAGCAGTCCAATCCCTGTACCTTTTGCAGAATATCAGTCTGTCCCTGATGTTTTTCCTGGAGAGAAGTGGCTTCTTTGCTGCCCTTCTTGACACCAGGCCATCCTCCAAAAGTATTCACCTCACTGTGCGTGCAGATGCACTCACACCTGCCTGCTGCCATTCCTGAGCAAGCTCTGCACTGGTGGTGCCCCGATCCCGCAGCTGAATCAACTTTAGGAGACGGTCCTGGCGCTTGCTGGACTTTCTTGGGCACCCTGACGCCTTCTTCACAACAGTTGAACCTCTCTCCTTAAAGTTCTTGATGATCCGATAAATGGTTGATTTAGGTGCAATCTTACTAGCAGATATATCCTTGCCTGTGAAGCCCTTTTTGTGCAAAGCAATGATGACGGCATGTGTTTCCTTGCTGGTAACCATGGTTAACAGAGGAAGAACAATGATTTCAAGCACCACCCTCCTTTTAAAGCTTCCAGTCTGTTATTCTAACTCAATCAGCATGACAGAGTGATCTCCAGCCTTGTCCTCGTCAACACTCTCACCTGTGTTAACGAGAGAATCACTGACATGATGGCAGCTGGTCCTTTTGTGGCAGGGCTGAAATGCAGTGGAAATGTTTTTGGGGGATTACATTCATTTTCATGGCAAAGAGGAACTTTGCAATTAATTGCAATTCATCTGATCACTCTTCATGACATTCTGGAGTATATGCAAATTGCCATCATCAAAACTGAGGCAGCAGACTTTGTGAAAATTAGTATTTGTGTCATTCTCAAAACGTTTGACCACGACTGTATATGTTTACGGTCATATCACCTATCCCTAACTGCCATTGGTAATAGAACAGTGACCATGTGTATGTGTTCAGAGATGCAGAGACCAGGCACTCAAAACATCCACAATGAGGTGATTACTAATAATGCAGTACAGCATAAATGTCCAGTAATAGCAACACGTTTCATTCAATGTGTCACTGATGAACTCTGCCTCAACTCTACCTATTTCTACAGATGGACTGGAGATGCTTTTGCCAGACGGCAGCCTCAGTTGTTTGAAGGGGAGACCTTAATTGGGTAGGTTTTATCTGACGTGTTCAAACTTCAACATAGTTTGTGTGTCAGATATTACCTATCCTAACTGCCATTGTTAATAGAACAGTGACTATGCCTGTATGTGTTCACAGAAACATGTATGGAGCCAGCACAAGGAGACTTGCTAGATGAAGTCCAGACTGACAGACGGACTTTATACTGATGTCTCTGAATGGAGAGAGACCTGACACTCTGCATTAAAATGTTACAAAACACGTTCACTTAAATTGTCTTTTTCTATTATTGGATTGAATTGTATCAGTCAATATGGGGAGAGAGAAAATCTGTGTATTCTGCACCAGAATCAGGGAACTCCTGTTGTATACAGGACACCACACAGGAAGGTATGACCACTCTGACATGTTTGCCAAGGTAGCCCCATTACCACCAGACAAAATGCTGATAGGCACAGTATCTGTATCAACCGGGAATGACAATGAAAAATGAAGGGTGCATATTGTTATATTAGCAGAACACAGCTTCTATGGTATTATGTAAAAGGTTGGTTATTCTACATGGACCTACTACTTCATTTCAAAGTTATCAAAACACCTAGTTTAGAATATCTGCATAAATTCAGCAATTGCATTCTTCTCGTATTACTCTGTAGGCTACAGACCTATTCAAAGCTTCCTCCAGCATCTCACCCATACATCTGCCTGTAGTTATTGAACTCAACCTGCAGGAGGTTTGTTTGTTCCGATTTAGTGTGGGGAAAACAGCTGCGGGCAAGATTCTGAAAAGATGGGTGTGTCTTGGTGGTAGCAAGGACACACCCAAGAAACACCCACATCAAACCACACCCCCAAGCCAACTCATGTTTGGCTTCTGTCATGTCCGGCAGCATTTCTTGAGAAGCAAGCTAAAAAACAAGGCCAAATCAGTGGGTGCAGTTCCCCTTTAAATCAGCCCAGTACACTGCAGAAAAGAAAGGAACCAAGTAGTTTAACACCCTCCAATGAAATAAGTATTTATGCCTCCTGTCTATCTCCCCTCTAGGCCCATGCTTGGAGGAGCACATGTCCTGTAGTAGAGTTGAAGAAGCTTTATCCTGTTTTTTTACTACCATCTCTGACGGATACTGCTTGGACAAAGTTTGTTTGAAGACTTGCATCTTTGACCCTTCATGCCCTCGCTTGTGTAGTAAATGCTTGAGTTCACCACGCTCACACGATGAGAAGCCTTCACTGAAACTTGAAGACTCATGTTTCCTTTAGAGCTAAGGCTTGAGCTCAGTCCTATGTATGATTCCCACTTGGTCAGACGTGCTTGCCTTTAGAAAGGGGAGTTAGCTGCCACTTTCACAGCTAATGCCTAGGTTCATCATGTCCCGGATTCGATTCCCAGTGCCTCAGACTTGCATGCTTACTGTTAGAAAGTGGAGTTGGCCAATCACATCTATTTGTGATTCCAGGCATCAGCAACGCGGAGGCGAGGCAGCCTGGCAAGGCGCCCAACTTCAGCGTGAACTGGGCAGTGGGCGACCAGGCACTGGAGGTCATCAACGCTACCACGGGCAAAGACGACATGGGGCGCGCCTCGCGCCTCTGCAAGCATGCCCTCTACAGCCGCTGGGTTCGCCTGCACTCCAAGGTACAGAAAGGTCCAACACACACAACACAATGTCTCTCCTTGTCAAGGCATCTAAGTGTTTATGACATTCAGCACTGCACACAGACGGTGTGAGCAGCACAACACATTAAGACCAGCGGAAGCACAGATGAAGTCGTTGTACATTTAAACACTGTACAAGTTGCTCCTCAATATTTGATTCAACATAGTCTTCTTATCTCAACATCTGTTTGCTCCCCACCCCAGCTGTCATCCACACTGAGGATCAAGGTGTCCAAGCCCAGCTCGTACCATGATGCCAAGCAGGCAGCGGTGGAGTACCACAACGCCAAGCAGACGCTCATCAAGGTCTTCCACAAGTCGGGCCTGGGGGCCTGGGTGAAGAAGCCCATCGAGCAGGACCAGTTCTCCCTCAACTCCTGATCAGGAGGTTAGGGGGAACCTCCTCACCCAACCCACTGCACCCCAACCACCTCTCTAGGCCTGAGAGAGAGGCTCCTCGAAACTACCAGCCACTGAAACTTTGCGTCTGTATGTGTGTGTGCGTTTGTGTGTGCCTCGTGCATGCGTGTGTGTATGTGTATGTCAGTCTGAGTGTTTGTGAGAAATAATGCATGTGGTTATGGCCACCTCTTCCGTCCCAATCACTCAGCTCTCATTCCTCATGGCTGTGATGTCATCACTTGCTGTTTCTGTCTCTGTACAACGTTATTTTTTTAATCGATGGTACTCATGTTCAATCTGCCCATCTAATCAAGTCTTGCCATTTTTAACTGGAATTCTTTTTAGTCATTGTAGTTTTATTTGCTAGACTTTACATGAAGTTGTCCATATACCATGTAGTTACTATATATATATATACAGTGGGGAGAACAAGTATTTGATACACTGCCGATTTTGCAGGTTTTCCTACTTACAAAGCATGTAGAGTTACAAAGCATGTAGAGGTCTGTAATTTTTATCATAGGTACACTTCAACTGTGAGAGACAGAATCTAAAACAAAAATCTAGAAAATCACATTGTATGATTTTTAAGTAATTAATTTGCATTTTATTGCATGACATAAGTATTTGATCACCTACCAACCAGTAAGAATTCCGGCTCTCACAGACCTGTTAGTTTTTCTTTAAGAAGCCCTCCTGTTCTCCACTCATTACCTGTATTAACTGCACCTGTTTGAACTCGTTACCTGTATAAAAGACACCTGTCCACACACTCAATCAAACAGACTCCAACCTCTCCACAATGGCCAAGACCAGAGAGCTGTGTTAGGACATCAGGGATACAATTGTAGACCTGCACAAGGCTGGGATGGGCTACAGGACAATAGGCAAGCAGCTTGGTGAGAAGGCAACAACTGTTGGCGCAATTATTAGAAAATGGAAGAAGTTCAAGATGACGGTCAATCACCCTCAGTCTGGGGCTCCATGCAAGATCTCACCTCGTGGGGCATCAATGATCATGAGGAAGGTGAGGGATCAGCCCAGAACTACACGGCAGGACCTGGTCAATGACCTGAAGAGAGCTGGGACCACAGTCTCAAAGAAAACCATTAGTAACACACTACGCCGTCATGGATTAAAATCCTGCAGCGCACGCAAGGTCCCCCTGCTCAAGCCAGCGCATGTCCAGGCCCATCTGAAGTTTGCCAATGACCATCTGGATGATCCAGAGGAGGAATGGGAGAAGGTCATGTGGTCTGATGAGACAAAAATATAGCTTTTTGGTCTAAACTCCACTCGCCGTGTTTGGAGGAAGAAGAAGGTTGAGTTCAACCCCAAGAACACCATCCCAACCGTGAAGCATGAAGGTGGAAACATCATTCTTTGGGGATGCTTTTCTGCAAAGGGGAGAGGACGACTGCACCGTATTGAGGGGAGGATGGATGGGGCCATGTATCGCGAGATCTTGGCCAACAACCTCCTTCCCTCAGTAAGAGCATTGAAGATGGGTCGTGGCTGGGTCTTCCAGCATGACAACGACCGAAACACACAGCCAGGGCAACTAAGGAGTGGCTCCGTAAGAAGCATATCAAGGTCCTGGAGTGGCCTAGCCAGTCTCCAGACCTGAACCCAATAGAAAATCTTTGGAGGGAGCTGAAAGTCCGTATTGCCCAGCGACAGCCCCGAAACCTGAAGGATCTGGAGAAGGTCTGTATGGAGGAGTGGGCCAAAATCCCTGCTGCAGTGTGTGCAAACCTGGTCAAGACCTACAGGAAACGTATTATCTCTGTAATTGCAAACAAAGGTTTCTGTACCAAATATTAAGTTCTGCTTTTCTGATGTATCAAATACTTATGTCATGCAATAAAATGCAAATTAATTACTTAAAAATCATACAATGTGATTTTCTTAGATTCCGTCTCTCACAGTTGAAGTGTACCTATGATAAAAAATTACAGACCTCTACATGCTTTGTAAGTAGGAAAACCTGCAAAAACGGCAGTGTATCAAATACTTGTTCTCCCCACTGTATTTCTGTAACCAGAATGTACAATAATTTGGCTAGATTCTATTTCTACTATTCAGTTAAATGTATTTACACTAGTGTAAACCCAAATGCCATGTGACTTCATGGTATCTTTTTAACCTATTGTAGGATTTTACCTTTTAATGTCTTATTTCATTACAATACAACCCCTTTATTAAAAGCACATATGACATGATGCTAAAAATAAATCCAAAATGTTGGTTACAGTCATTCAATTATTATTAATTTGAAATCTTCTCTTTTGGACCTTTTACGTCTATTTATTTGTTGCCATTTTTGGTCATTGAGTGCATTCCCATTCCATACTTGAACACGGGGGCCTGGTGGAGGCTGTCCATGATTTTCCTTGAGTCCTTTGACCTGGGGGGTTGAGGGGAGTTGTGGATGTGCTGCACATTTTTTCTTATTGATGGTAAGCCATGGCTTTGCATGGGAACTGTCTCAGAGGTCTGCAGAGCTGATTCGGTAGAGAACCACCAGGATCTCCTCAAGTTAATTTTTTCTGCACAGGGAGCTTTGAATCATGTTTCTCTCTTTAATGTGTTTGTTTTGTTTTCTGGGCGGGGGCTTAGTTTTTAGTATTGCAACTTTGGACTTTTTGTGTTTGAGAGATGAAGGATTACACTGCAACTAAATAATGACAGGAATTAAGTATTTCTGTCAATGACACTGACTGCATAGGAGCTACATTACACCTTCTTCATAAGCATGATCCTCATGGACATTATGCATCCATGCCCTGGGCATTTATAAATGTTTATGTCCACAACCTCGGATTGATTAGTCATGGTCATGCCACACAATACAAGTCTGGTGACATAACACATCTGTCAATCTGGGGTTGTCATGAAGGTGTAAAGTAGTCCATGTCATTCATAGAGAGCTGGGAAATGCATACGTCTCCAAGAGCTTATGTCGTAATTTAAATAACTCTTGTAAGCAACACGATTGTTGATTGCTCATTGTGTGAGTAAACTTCCAAGGCAACACAAAGAAACGCATGAGAGATTTTACAAAGTTGAGTTTGGTACCGCCCACTCAATGACCAATTCCGTGTTTTCTCACTCCTAGTCCAATTGGTCCATATACCTGGGTATTCTATATGCCCTCTTCACCACCCTCTCCCGTTAATCTTTTCTATTTCAACTATTTCTACAACATGATAAACTCTGGATGCCAGTAATGACAACTTTCTAATGCATTATCTATGTGCTCTCCCTTATAGGCTGGTCATATACCTTTTAATATCAGCATTGTACATGGCCAGCGACAAACCACAATGTAAACAGACACACTGCAAATGAATGGTTATGGGGTATTCTTTAGCTTGGTGTATTTTTATATCCAATATATTTGGTTCAAAACAGCAGGGGGAAGGTGCTTGGTTTGAGTCCCAGCAGTGTGCGTGTTGTACGTACACTACATGACCAAAAGTATGTGGACACCTGCTCGTCGAACATCTCATTCCAAAATCATGGGCATTAATATGGAGTTGGTCCCCCCTTTGCTGCTATAACAGCCTCCACTCTTTTGGGAAGGCTTCCCACTAGATGTTGGAACATTGCTGCTGGGACTTGCTTCCATTCAGCCACAAGAGCATTAGTGAGGTCGGGCACTGATGTTGGGACCTCGCTTTGTGCACGGGGGCATTGTCATGCTGAAACAGGAAAGCACAGAATCGTCTAGAATGTCATTGTATGATGTAGTGTTAAGATGTCCCTTTACTGGAACTAAGGGGCCTAGCCTGAACCATGAAAAACAGCCCCAGACCATTATTCCTCCTCCACCAAACTTTACAGTTGGCACTATGCTTTGGGGCAGGTAGTTTTATCCTGGTATCCGCCAAACCCAGATTCGTCCGTCGGACTGCCAGATGGTGAAGCGTGATTATCACTCCAGAGAACGTGTTTCCACTGCTCCAGAGTCCAATGGCGGCGAGCTTTACACCACTCCAGCCAACGCTTGGCTTGCGCATGGTGATCTTAGGCTTGTGTGTGGCTGCTCGGCCATGGAAACCCATTTTTTGAAGCTCCCGCCAAACAGTTTTTGTGCTGACGTTGCTTCCAGAGGCATTTTGGAACGCGGTAGTGAGTGTTGCAACCGAGGACAGACTATTTTTACGTGCTTTAGCACTCGGCGGTCCCGTTCTGTGAGCTTGTGTGGCCTTCCACTTCACAGCTGAGCCGTTGTTGCTCAGATATTTCCACTTCACAATAACAGCACTTACAGTTGAGCGGGGCAGATCTAGCAGGGCAGAAATTTGACCAACTGACTTGTTGGAAAGGTGGAATCCTATTACGGTGCCACGTTGAAAGTCACTGAGCACTTCAGTAAGGCCATTCTACTGCCAATGTTTGTCTATGGAGATTGCATGGCTGTGTGTTCGATTTTATACACCTGTCAGCAACGGTGTGGCTGTAATAGCCGAATCCACAAATTTGAAGGGGTGGCCACATACTTTTGTATATATAGTGAATGTCTAGAATAAGGTGGGTGCGTGACACAGCTCGATAAATGTCATAGCAACAGGACATTAGAGATTGCGGTGGAATCTGCACCAAAGATGATGTCCTTGTGTTTTTCTCACAATTTTCTTTATTGAGCAATGACAAAGAATGGGGGGGGGGGTTAAGATGTGTTTCACACAGTTTGCTGGGTATAATATTACAATGTTTTTGTACTTTCATTTTATCAATGTATTTTTTTATTTGTATAAAATGATGGGTTGTATTCTGTTGTATTCCAGCTTTGTGATGGAATTTTGTTAGGCTCTTTCAGTATTTCTGTAGCTGTTGATTATCAAGGTGTTGTTATTGTCAACCTCTGTTATATTGCAATGGAAATTATGCGTATAGCATTAATACTGGTTAAAAATGTGATGCCTGTGCAACTATTCTTCCTTCACTGTCTAGTTCTTGTTCTCCCTCCCCCT